TGACTGCTCGTCAGAGATGTAGAGCTCCAGGGCCAGGGCAACCTGCAGAAAGGTACAGGGAGAGAGAGAGAGGACACACTACGGGAGAGAGGAGACACACAGTTAGTGATGTGTAATGGTGGCATATAGAAGCATAGGGAGAGAGAGGAGAGGAGAGGAGAGCAGAGCAGAGCAGGAGGGGATGTGTACAGACTGAGAATGAAGAGATGAAGAGGCTGATGTTAAAAATCACCATTTTACCAACTTCAAACAATATTAAAAACGAATCTCAACTTGTTTGGTGTCATTTAAAATGTCTATATTAAAATCCTCAGTTGTGTAATTTAATAAAGCCAGATTAATAACAGAGTAATAGTGTCACATGGTAAAGAGGTGGAACAGGACTGGTTGTATATCAACACTGCAAAACACTGACTGCTGCTTTGCTGCTAGAACCTTACAGAACCAAGTTAGACAGTCATTGTACAGATAGGCCACTGTTTGATCTTTTTTATTTTGTCATACTTTTTCAAGTTACACAAAATATAAACATATACAAATGTTAATAGAAACAGTACTATCAAAACAGTTTATGTTTTTAAATTTAATCATAAGTATAGTTTTGTGTGAATGACTCATTTTAGACAAACATTTCACAGGGATTTCAGATTCTAAGGTCACTATTTATAAAAAAAAACTTTTTAGATTAGTTTTCTTATTGTACATTTTCATGGAAGCTGTACAGTTGATATTATTTCTAACTTTAAATACATGATACTATGTTGTTATTCTGTTATTGTTCGAGATAAATTACACGACACAGTTCATTTCAAAAAAATTTTTCATTATGTGGTATAAACATTTAGTGATTTTAGGCGCGCGTGCGCTTAGTGTCCGTGTTCGATGGCAGCGATGTTCGATTGTTTTGGACCGCAAACAAGATGGCCGCGGAATGTCAACTGTCATAGTTGTTACGTTCTTGTTATTATTTTATAATATTCATACTTAAAGTTACTGAAAGAAAATGGGGTTATCGCTGAGCTCAGACGTATCCGAAAAAGGAGCGTGCGGATATCATGTGCACGGCGTAAGACTTTAAAAACATTCATCTTCCTTTAAATTTGGAGCAGCATGTCATGTACAGCAGCTAATCATAAAATGTTACTGTATGCTAACCTGATGCTAACAGATAGCTAAGCTAGATGGCTAGTCTGCCCGTTTCACAGGTAAAACCTGATGATGTGGCATTACTTACGTGTTACTCCTGGTGGACACAATTATGCTAAAGAAAATACTTGCTTATTATTCGTTTAAAAATAATCAATCTTGAATTCAAGTTTAGAACTTGTCTCAAGGAAAATCTGCTAATATAGTCTAGAATCCACTGAGCTATTACAATGCCCGACTTAATTTATTTAAATCTAGATGAATGCCTGTAGGTAATGCTTTGACTACAATAATACCTTATAGAAGAGAATTTTAGATTTTTATACTGGCCCCAAAAATAACGATTGTACATTTGTACAACACATCATCTTGGAGCATTAGACGATTCCTGGATTGAGAGTAATTGTATACTGAATCTGCTTTGTATAGATTTGCATATGTTTCATTCATCATGTGATTATGTATATGTACTTGATTGTGTTGGGTTTGTTTTTAACTTTTAACGTATTTTTTTATTTTGTTTTATATTTTTAGTGAGTTATCTATTCTATTTATTGGTATGTGTGCTTGATATTGAGTGTGAACCGCTGCTGAAACAATGCAATTTCCCAGATTGGGATTAATAAAGTATTTCTATCTATCTATCTATCTATCTATCTATCTATCTATCTATCTATCTAACATTAGTGCTGAAATGATTAGGCGATTAACTGATAAATCGATCGATTTAAATGCAAAACATTTACAGACACCAATCAGCCATAACATTATGACCTCTGGCAGGTGAAGTGATTAACACTGACTATCTGTTACAGCAGTGGTCCCCAACCCCCGGGCCGCGGACCGGTACCGGTCCGTGGATCAATTGGTACCGGGCCGCACAAGAAATCATTAATTATTTCCGTTTTATTTATTATCTGAGTCTGAAAGATCATTTATTTTGAAAAATGACCGTATTCTCTCGGTTACATCTCGGTCACTTGAGCGCCAAAACTGGCTTACTTGTGGACATATTCAGCCTGCTCAATGAACTCAATCTGTCACTTCAGGGGAAAATGACAACTGTCTTCAAGTTGGCAGATAAAGTAGCTGCATTTAAAGCCAAACTGGATTTGTGGGGACGGCGCGTCAACAGAGGCATTTTGGACATGTTTCAAACATTAGCGGGGATTTGGGGTGAGACTGAGACTGAGCCTGAGCCTTCATTCTCCCAGCTGGTGCACGATCACCTGTCTTTGCTTTTAAAAGAG